CCTGCTTTACATATATAGCCTAGTATTTTTTGAAAGTTTAATCTTATAGTGTATTTGTTTGTAGATCCGGGACAGACGTGTGCATTTTCAGGCTTGACTGTAATAATCGATACACTTGATAATTAAATCATAAGAGTCAAACACTATCGGGTCTTTTAACATCGAAATTACTTTACGTAAGCGAGGACGAAAAGGGATAGGGTGCTGTTTGCGTATTTATTACAGGGAACACTAATAAGTAATAACGACTACTTTTTTTTTAAACCACTAAGTGATTGTTGTTATCAACCAACTCAGTTCCCTACCACTTTTTTTTTTAAATTCTCTTCCACGTGCATCCCAATGCAATCTCCGCCCATGTCTCCTAGTATTATTATTATATTCATGTGATTCTTCTTATATAAGAATAGTCTCTGATATACAATTTCAGCTGGCTACACGGGCAATGAAAACAAAGAAGCGTTATTTTAGTCAATACAAATAATAATGTGCCTAATAACAAATAAGTATAAATAATAATATTTTAAAAATAATATGATATGTATGAACACAAATTGTAAAAGAGAACTTACCATACCCCCCCCCCCCTTTCCATACCAGCAATTGTGGAGCAACTTGGGCTGAGCCTCCCCTCCCCACTGTGGTCCCATCTTGCAGCATGATGACCGATCCAGCTCCTCCATTTTTGTCTGCTACCTCCAATGATCCATCGGTGTAAACGTGTGTCCATTCGGGTTTTGGATAACAGTTGTAGACATGTTCAAGGGTCTTTGCACGCAGTACTAGGTCACACTCTTCAGCCTTTCTGTCTATGCCTGGAATTGTTGTTGTGACTGTATATTTAGGCTGTTGGGCTATGCTGTATGCCTGGATCATTTCCCATGTTGAAGGATCTTTAGAAAGAATGTCACTGTTTTTTGTGTAGTATAATTTTGATAGATGGTGAAAGCTTTGTCTTTTCAGTTGGTTTTTGGTTAAGTTATTTGCTATTCTGTGCATAGGGTTGTTGTTCATGCGTTTAAATTTTTCTTTAGGGTAAGCACCTTTTCTTCCCTTCGAAGGCTTAAGCTCTCAAGGCCACAGGTCGCCTCCAGTTCATTAATTTGTGTGCTTCTCATACCTTCAGTGATGATTCTGAGACCAGTCTTCTGTATTTTATCCAGTTTGTGTAGGTTTGATTTAGCTGCAGTGGAGTATGCTCCCATGCCATACTCCAGTTTTGGTCGTACGTATCCTGTGTATACTTGTCGTACAGTGTTGACATCTGCACCCCAGTTTCTTCATAAGTCTGAGCCTCAGGATAGCTTTCTTTTGGGTGTCTTCAATGTGGGAGCCCCACGTTAGCCTTTTGTCAAATTTTACTCCCAAATATGTGGGATTATCCTCTTTTGGAAGGATGTTGCCTTCTAGGTACAGATCAACTTGTTCTGGCTTTGTGGAAAAAGCGAATAAAGTTGAGACGGTTTTGGTCTGTCCATTTCTTAACTGTATTTATAGCTTCCTGCATTCTTGTTTTAGTTGTTACTATATGTTCAGCTTGAGTCCATATGGCCAGGTCATCTGCGTGTAGCGCCTTGTGAATGTGAGTCATGAACTGTTTTGGGAGGTCATTGATGAAAAGAATAAACAGGGTAGAAGATATAACACCTCCCTGGGGGACACCTTCTTGTAACCTGACCAGCTTACTCTTGTGATCTTCCAGTCTGACTCTCGCACAGTGTCTGTAAAAGAAGTCTCTAATCCAGGCAAACATATTCGGTGGGGGAAGTTACGGAGTCTTCCTATTCGTGTCCTGGTTCGTCCAAACACTGCCTGCCAGAAATCAGAGGTTGTTGGAGTTTCCCTTCTCCACCTTTGATTATCCAGGGTGGGCTCCATGGGTGTGACCTTAGTGAGGATCGGGACATGTCCACGCGCCTGTGGGCTCAGCGTCGGCAGCACCTCACCGGTGGGGGGAGGGGGGGGGGTTCACTTCACTGAGGGTTTCTGTCTGGCTTACCCCAGCCATAGCCTGGTATTTTACCCCTTCAGGCTCGGGGGTCCATTTTGTTAGCGATGGAGACTCGCTATCCGCCAGAGCCGTGTCTGTTACAACAGGTAGCACCACGTGTAGGTACGGTTGACTTGACTGGCAGAGGCTATAAATTACGCGCAGGCATTTCCCACATTTAGGTGAGACCTGTACATACCAATCCTTGCTACCCTCCAGTTTCCATTTTCAGCGATCAAATAATCATTACGTCCCTTTTAGGACGTAATTTTTTGTTATTGGAAGCCCCACCCTGGCTTTTGCCAGGGGCCGCAATATAGGCAGGCCATAAATATGGCCAATTGTCTGAACGCGGTTTCTGGGACCTCTCCACGGTGATCCTCATCCACATGGTGGCACTCTGTGTCATCGGGTGTTTAACGCTTGTGTGGTGTCCTGGTGGGGTAGAAAGTCAGTCAGTTTTCAGCGATCTATTTGACTTCCGGACGCTCCCTGGGTAGACATATCTAGCTGTTGCGCTTTGCACAATGGGCCAGTCAGCATGTATGGCGACCTCGGGAAGAGGCCGTAGTCAGGCTGTTTTCGCAGGCGGTAGTACGTTCATTTGGTTAAGTTTGATGATTCATGTTTTAGATTCTGGTCGAGCATGTTGTTGTTATTAATGTCGTTATTTTTGGACCACGCTGATGTGATGCCAAGTAAAATAAACCGCTGTTCAATGTAGTAATCATAGTTCTATTTGTTTTCCTTCAGCTTAGGACTTGTAGTTAGTTTGCCTAGTTCAGTTTTTTTATTTTTTATTTTATTTGGCTGATCTAGACTTTACACATATTTCTTCTTGTTACTATAGCATGGCATGGGTCGATGTTGGCTTCCACTCACCACGTGACATTGTTTAAAGCTCTTGTAGGTTCGGAGTCGAGGAGATTTCAAGGAGTAGATTTCCATATTATCCTTGTAGTTACCTTCTTCCCTTTTTCCACCTATACAAGAGATCCCCTCTCTTTTTGCTTCTAGTGCACTTGTCTTCAAAGGCTTGCAGATACAGGTTTTTTTTTACTGAATGAAAAAGCTATTTTTAGGCCAACTATCCCTAGTTAACTTGTATCATATGAATCGATCATAGGGTAAATCATTTGTGTATACGTCACACAACAGTCAGCAGTCTATTCCTTCATTCCGATTTGTCATTTGCAGTCTTTGCTCTTCGAACGTTTTTCGCCCCAAACACGCCGTGATTGACCTTTCATTCGTGTTTCGTGACCTTTCACACGTGCTAATCTGAGCTACAGGGGAGTCGCGTTGTGTTTTTTTCAACGCTATTACCCGCTATATCCTGTGTTCTGTATTACATGACGTGTCTGCTTTTAGTTACCCCCATGTAGAACTGGCCCAACCCCAACAACCTACCTCACAGCCTCCGGTCTATGAGAGAATGCAACCTACATCCCGTGGTTTCAGAATTATCAAAATTTTGCGTCGGAGCCTAAAAAGCCAACTTGCTGCAGAAAAGCAAAGTTGCTCGCCTTATCGCTCCTCAACGCTCACAGCTGAAGTATATTCATGATCTACTAAAAGTCCGGCCACGTCCAGCTGTATCTATTTACATCTAAAGATGGCCGTGGTCCGGCAAAGCTATAATATACGCAATCTCAACGGCCTTTCGCACCAACCAGTACACGACACACAATATACACTGCTCAGAAAGTCGAACACAAAGCAACGTCCCATTCCTGTAACTTAGATTAGTGAGTGTGAAAGGTCACGAACCCTGAATAAACGGCTAATCATGATGTGTTTGGAGCGGAAAACGTTCCCAGAGCGGCAATCTTTTTATTACGTTTGTAGTCAATTAGCATATTAAAACAGTGTCATCAATAGCTAAGTTTATCCCCCAACCAACATTCACAATATAAGTAGAAATTCGTAAAAATTGATTCCCTGTCTGGGTTCTAGTGCCTCATTGTGGGGTAAACAAAAATGTAACTTCTGTCTCCCCAACAAGCATGTCGTAAGAGACTACAAATTATGGGCTTCCTTTAAACTCGAAGTACATCTGCATGAGAGGCAATGAACTAACAATCTGTATATTTATAAGCTCTCTTTGTAAAACAGATGTGCACGCATCATTTAGGTTCTGGAGCAAGACTTAAATCCAGTGGTGGACGAACAATCTGAACTTTCCGAGTTTACAGCTGGTGAAAGTGAAGAAGCAGAAATACCCATTTTTTTTTTAAAAGCACAATATTTTACCGTATGAATAGTTAAAAGGGGAGGTGATTCTTGTATTGTAGTTAGCGTGCTTGGTAACGTAAGACGCTGCATTCATCGGCTGGTTTTCATTTGGTGCTTCTTTCTTTATTACATTGGTTTTTGTAACTTAACGTGCGTCTTTTTTTTCTTCCCTGTGGGGTCTATAGTAGTCCGCTTTGCCACGTTTTATTTTTAATATATATTTTCGGACAGAATATTTATCAGTGCCGTCAAAATTAATAGATTCAACTGTACTTGAACTTGTAAACACAGAACGAACCCTTGACAAGCAGAGCCAGATGCCGAGGCCATTTTGAAATTCAAATTGTCCAGTACTCCAAGAAACTATAGAGCTAAATTGGACTGAAAAATTCACATGTACCGATCAATGCTTGCAGACAACTGGGAAGAAAAAAATAAAATTGAGAGAGTACATTGAACAAAACAAACGGTGAAAAAAAATGGTTTTAAAACACTAAAATTGGGTTCAAACCTGCCACTTCCAAATGAAGACAGTGTCCTGCTGAATAACCATTGGTTGAATCAAGTGTATCCCAACGTATGGCCAACAAGGCAGTGACTGTTTAGAAATAGTACTACTACTGATAATAAGACAACACAAGACTGTGCTTTTGCTGCTACTAACTACAAAATGTATTGACTAGCACTGTTGCTAGCTATAGATACAAAACATCTAATATCGCATTGGCACTTGGTTAAAACAAACACAGTGAAAATAGCAAACACAGAAATAGACATGTCGGTAACACATCTGTGTTCTCTTCCTTTTGGCACTAACCCAGGACGTTTGGATCCTTGCATTGGTAGACACTGGATAGCCCTACCACTGACCAAAAATACAGTAGGGCTTTGGAAGATATCACAGATTACAAAATGCCTGCCCATTGAATTAACTAACCATTCCAGTGAAGTTTGTGCCATCACTTTAAGCAGTGATCGTATTACCTATTTAGTGTCTGCATGCAGAGAAAAGATTTTTATGTGGGATTTATGTAGTGAACGTGATGGTCAGATTTCATCAAAACTTTGCCATTCAAATCCAGGTGACGTAACTGCTTTGAGTATCAATAATAGTAATGACATTATTGCTGTAGGTGTAGATTTCAAAATACTTCTCTTGAAAGAAGGCAGCAAAGACGCTGTCACTATTTTAGAAGCTCACAGAGGAATGATAACAAAATTAGCATTTTGCCCACATTACTCTGCTACTTTAGTGTCCTTGTCTGATGATCGTAGTTTCTGTGTCTGGGATATTCAGGATTCATCATTACTGTTTCATTCAAAAATAATATCATCCTCACCATTGATCAGCGTAAGCATGAACTGGACGAACCCACAAATTGCTATCGGAACTGCAGATGGCTTTCTGAAGGTATTCGATCTTGGCAGTAGCAACGACTTCAGGCAACTTTCAAGTGTAGATATTTCTTCAGCATTAAAAAAATACATAGAAAAGAAGTCTCCAAGTGAAAGTATGTTGCCAGAGGGATCAGCTGTAAACACAAAAATGAACAGGCAACAGAAGAATACTGACCGAAACTGTGCTGGGAATCCAGCTGTTGTACAGATTAGTGAAAGTGTGCTGTCTGTTGAATATGTATATTTTGCTCAAGATTGTTTATTGGTAAACACAGGTAATGACAATAGTTCTGGTATAAGTGACATTCTTTTAGAAAAGCCACCATTGATATGTGTTATTACATCAAATGCTATCCTCCAGATTAACTCAAGAAGTTTTGAGATTTTAAAAGCAATAAAGTTGCACAGCCCAATAGTAAGTCACTCATTTTGTGGCATTAAAAACATTGGGACACTTTCTTATGCAGCTTCTTGCCAGACAAACTCAACTGAAATGTTGGTAGTTGTTGGAACTATATTTCAAGGGAAAATAGAAGTGCTTCAGTTGGAAGTTGCTGATCAAATAGATTATGTACATTTAGATAAGACAGAAGACAGTTTACCAATTTCTGTTGCAGGGGAAAGCACTCTTACCATCATTCCATTATCTGCAGTGTTGAGTTCATCCCCTTTAGTTGCTGAAATGCTTCCTCCTATTGAATCAAAGCCAGTTACTAAAGGAGATGTAGCAACAGGGAAAAAGAAATTATCCAGTGTTATGAATCAGCCCCTCACTTTCAAGGCAAAAGTATCATCTTCAGGCTATTTGCAAGCTCCTAGAACAGCCATGTTTAAGCCAGATACATCTCAAAGCAAGTTTTTAAACATGGATCATCAGCGAAGAACTAAACAAGAGCCAAGACGAAGTTCATTTGCTAAAGTATTGAAAGCCGATTATGATACACAGAAAGGCCCACCCATAGACTGCTGTGATAACTTTCAAGTAGATGCTGGTGGGAGTGCTGTTTTGTGTCTTCGTTTTTCAAATGATGGCAGTAACTTGGGCTGTGCTTTATCCAATAAATGTGCATTGACATTGAAATCAGCATACAGCAAGCACATCTCAACAACATTTCTTGGTCACAATAACATTGTCAATTCAATATATTGGAGCAGCAGCACCTCATATGTACTTACAGCATCTAATGACAAAACAGCTTTATTATGGAATAAAACAGGTGGTGAACCATTGTTATCTTTAACTCACCAGAGAGGTACTGTGAAAGAAGTAAATTCAAATAATACATCCTCCCCATTGATGAGAAAGCTGTCTACTCAACAGTCATATAGAAAATATCAGTCTTCAGAGTTGAGCACTTCTAGAAGACAGTCCTTGACTTCAACAGATAATAAACCTTTCACAAAAGAAATTAAGCATGCTCAGTTTTTCTATGTTGATAAATTCATTTTATTAACACATGGAGCTAATCTGTCATTATTTAAATATCACATTGCACAAAATAAGGATGATATTAAAAAGTACCAGTGTTACAGTCGCTACAAACTTGTAGAAAACTGGCAAACTGTCAGCGCTGTTTTCACAGCTACTGCAGCTGTAAATGCATTCTATTCACACCTAGTGATATGCGCAACATCCGGTCGTAACGTAGAAGTATACGATTTGAACAAGTCGGTTCTAGCTCATACGTTTATAGAATGCCACTCTAGACCAGCACATAGTATTGCTATAAATGAAGGCTCTTGCTTTGCCTCTCAACCGACAGAAGCACACAATGTCATTGCAACGTCGTCTCTAACAGATCCAATTAAATTATGGGATCTGCGAACCAGAACAAATGTGCAGGCTTTACAAGGCCACCTTAATAATGCACATGCATGCCAGATCACTTTCAGTCCCTGTGGAGACTATTTGGCTTCTGGGTCAGAAAACCAAATGGTTTATATTTTTGATCTTCGTACAGGCACATATCTGGACCCCCTGAGAGGTCACAGTGATGTTGTGACAAGTGTAGCCTTCCACCCAGGGTACCCGCTGCTTGCTTCTGGAAGTTTGAATGGCAGGATTCTGTTTTTTAAATCACTATAAAAGCAGTTCTAATTGCTGTCTTTGTTATCAGTTCCTGAGAAATATTTGAAAGAGTCAATCTGAAGTGATTAAAGTAAATCAATGGCAAACAGCCAGATCCTGCACTGACGTGCATTAACTGGTACATTCATGGTAGAGAAGGACCAAAATAATACCAGAGAATCAGTGTAGAGCTTATGGAGACAACTAAATAAATTCCAGCAAATCAGTAAGAGAGCAAAAGATGCTGGCACTAGAGAGGACACATTGAGGAAACCCTACACAATGAGGCTGCTTAGGGCGGTCTGGGTTGTCGCAAATTTCTCTTATGAAAACAGTTTGTTTATCCACAGCAGTTATTTATTTTTTTTTTTAGGTTGTTGCTTGAACTCTTGTCTGGATCAGAGGAATTTGTGATAGGACATTCTTGGTAACCATGTGTTTTATACTTATCAGATTTGCACTGTATAACTAGACAGTCCTATTTCTGGACCCTACAGATTGAATTAAATAGAAAAAGGCAATGTTTTTAAAAAAACACAAGGAGATGGTTAATGACATGAATATTATGGGCAGGAAATGCAGAGAGCTGCAGGAAATAAAAAAAGATAGAAGGGCTTGGCAGAAGTCAGCGGAGACACACAAGCAGGGAATTCAAGCAGGACTGTTTCTAGCTGTACACATGGTAAACAATACCTTTTTTAGACATAATTGTTTTCAGCGGTTTTTAGACATCTTTTTAAAGACACTTTGACGTGAGTACTAGCACCTTTATTTCCAGAAGAAAGCCCTGGATACAAGATAGAAGAATTGAAGTTATTAATGAGGAAAGTATCTTCTGCCTGTTGCAGAAACTGCTTATGGCATATTTATTTTTCACTGGCTAATGAGTTTGGTAGTGCTATTTTTAATGTGAGCTTTGTTTTTAAATGTAACATGAAGCCATTAATAGAATACTTTTATTTAGATAAGCAAATTTGATTGTAATAATCTCAGTTAGAAACTCGACTAGAATGAAATGTTAGAATAAACAAGGCAAAATAAATTATACTTCTTCTTCAGCATTCTGAACCCTTGAGGTTCATTGCTGTAAATATCACCCACCTCTATTCATCTCTCTGGTTGGCTTTCTCTTTCCAATTGGTGACACCAAGTGTTTGCAGGTCTGTCTGGATATTATCTTTACATCGTGTTCTTGGTCTGCCTCAAGGTCTATGATCATTCATCTCCCTTGTGTATACAGATTTCACTTCTCTATCATCTGACATTCTTTCAATATGCCCCAACCATTTCAGTCTATTAGCTCTCATGATGCCAGTTATCAATGGTGATTTAAACAGATTATGAATTTTGTTATTGCTTCTCACTCTCCATTTCCTGCTGTTTGCATCTTTGATGGGTCCAAAGATTCATCATAAGACTCTGTTTAAAAAAAAACATGTAAAAAGGCTTCATCTTTTTTAGTTGTGCTCCAAGCTTCAGAGCAAAATAAATTATACAGAGATGAAACATTGAAATGTGAAAAGAATGTAAGGTTAGTAATATGGGAAAATGGGAACTACAATCACGAAGTGACTAGCATTTTTACCTGCATCCAAGGGTCATATGGGTGAATCTTCATCAATACATACTTTAAAAATATGCCAGGGTTCACAGGTCAACTCTGCCTAAACAAAAATGTACTGGAAAATGAGCATGGAAGTAAATGTAACTGACAGGTTATTTTCCACATCCTTTATTAAGTACCATATTTAATTTCTTGGGGATAACACTGTCAAATGACTGTATATACATTCTAGTTGTCCTTTATATATTTGTCAACCACTGTTGTTAAAAAAAAATATGTTCCATTTGTTTTGTGTAGATCATAAAATTATGACCTGAAATTATGTACAAACTATCGAACTATTGCCCTGATCAGTCATGCAAGTAAAATTCTACTAAAAATTATAATGAGAAGACTGCATAAGAAAATGGAAGAAGAGATTAATGTAGCTCAGGCTGGATTTAGACAGGGAAGAGGAACAAGAGATCATATATTCAACATGCGTTTAATAATAGAGAAGTGTAGAGAATTTAATGTAAATCTGTTCTTATGTTTTATGGATTATTCAAAAGCATTTGACTGTGTACAACATCAGAAGCTTTGGGAAATCATGAGGAATATGTGCTTTCCATCACATATAGTGCAGCTCATTAAAATGCTCTATCAAGACCAACAAGCAGCAGTCAGAATAGATGGAGAGACATCAGACTGGTTTGGCATCAAGCAAGGAGTCCGTCAGGGATGTGTGCTGTCACCGTATTTGTTCAACCTGTACGCCGAAAATATAATGAGAAATGTAAGAGATGATATAAACAAGGAACAATATGATGCCCTAAACATCGGTGGTCATGAAATACCAGAAATTCGTTATGCTGATGATACAGTATTACTATCAAGATCACAAAATGGTTTAGAAAACTTATTAACCTCACTCCAAAGAAATAGTGAAAATCATAACTTATTTCTTAACATAGCAAAAACAAAGATAATGCATACAAACAAAACTGCCATGGAGAAGGAAATATATGTTAATGAGGAAAGATTGGAAGTGGTGGAAAATTTCGAATATCTTGGGTCACTGGTTACCAACAATGGTTACACAATGAAAGAAATTAAACGGTGACTATCAATTGCTCTTCAAAGACTAAAACAACTGAATAAATTATGGAATTGTACAGATAGAACTACAAAGGTCAGATTTTTAAGAGCATGCATCTTTCCCATTGCAACATACGCCTGTGAGACCTGGACACTTACTAAACAAGCGGAACAGCGCATAAATGCATTTGAATATAAATGTTACAGACAGGTTCTAAGAATATCTTGGGTAAAGAAAAAAAAAACAAATGCATCCATACTTCAAGAGCTGAATATTGAAGAGGGTTGGCTAGTAAAGACAATAAAACAAAGAAAATTGAAATATTTTGGTCACTTGAAACGTCATGGAAGTCTAGAGAGAACAATAATGGTGGGGTATATGCCTGGGAAGAGAGGAAGAGGAAGGCCAAGGAAAAGATGGGTGCAGGATGTGGCAGATGATCTCCAGATGGGTGTATCAGACGCAGGACATCTTGCTCAGGATAGGAAGGTTTTCCGGAGGGTTGTTATGGCAGCGAGGTTCCGCGAGGGACATGCTACTGAATGAATGAATGAAGATCATAAAGATAGATAATCATAACATTTGACCATTGATTTTATTCTCTTGTTTTAGACAGTGTTATGAAAATTGTTATTTGCATTGAAACCTTGATAATATTTTATTCAGTATGTTTAACAGAGATTGTTGGTACATATATAGATTTTGTGTTTACTCTTTGTCTGGTGAAATGACAACCCCAAAAAAAATATTTCAAGTTGTTGGTTGCTGTTTACATATAACCAGATTGTGACTGGTACCATCAGTATTGGAACTCTGCGCTGGCTGCTGAAGATGAGGATGGAGCACACATGGGAATGCCCTGAGTGCTGTGATGTCAATTCTTGACTCAACTCAACTGGTTGCTGTTTGTGCTTTGGTTGATTGGTTGCACTCAGTCCAGGTGCAGGTGGTAAACAGGGATTCTGGAGGCAAATTTATAGGAAAAGCCATCTCATGGCAGATCTTGGCATATGGATAATGTGATGATTTACACACATATACTTTCTTCACCCCCCCCCCTTTTTCTGCCCCCCCCCCCCCTCTCTCCCTTTGCACTATGGTATACCAAAGTTTCAAGAACATTGAAATAAGTGTTTATTTCGAACATAAAAGCAGAAGTATGTAAAAATTGACATGGATGACTTAGGAAAACCTGGAGAAGGACAACAGAGGGAATTGGAGAATAAACTGGCATAGGATATCATCGACAGACGAGCACGGGAAGAAACTTAGATCTCTTGTAGATGCTTTATGTGTCAGCAGCTGCATAAAGAGAATATAGATAGGTACATACATATGTACAAAGTAATCAAATACATTCCCCATTCACACAGTGCTTTGTTTTTACATGAAAATGCTGATCGAATTAGTAAATGGTTTATTATTTTCAGCTGTGCTAATTATTAAGAAGAAATAAATGATTGCTAGTGTAGCAGCTTTAAATGTTTAAAAAGGAAGAAGACGAGAGAGAAAGAGAGAGAGAGAGAGTAGTTTGATTATTTGGAGCCATTTATATTCATCACACGTTGACAACATACAAACTTCTTTTTATTTTTTAATGTCCTGTTGTGTGCAATATATGGGTATATGAAAGGGAAGTTCATTATTGAACGTAAAAACTTGGTGCGGTGCAGGACACATTGAACGCAATGTGAAGAGAGAGAAAAACTGTTGGCTCCAAGTCCCCGGAGAGGAAGGATGCGGTGATGTAGGTTCTAGTCTGGGTGTTGCCAGACTAGTCCTGCACACCCGCATGTTACGCTGGCGTTAGGCATACAGGCTATCGGCGAGACATGCCGCAGAGGCAGGGCCAGCGTGACAGAAGCTCGTATGGTGAGATGGGAGATCTCAAGTACGTGTCAGGCCGCAGACGGAAGGTCTGGATAATCTTCACAAGGTATTGTGCATCGGCCTGTATGATCTTTCTAGTGACAGTGTACCCAAGGGATGGGTGTCATAGAGACAGACACGTACTCACGAGCAGTGGGTTTGCACGAGAAGGTAATGTTTGCTCGTTGTTAACCACGGAACAGGGTGGCAGTAGAAGTAGCCCAGAGCGTCCGGAGTGTGTGTTGCCTCACCAGTAGGAATGACTGTGGCAGTATAGAAATTCATGTGGATTCATTGTCTTGGTTTTGAAATACATTAATTATATTTTGACGTTCAACATGTATCCAGCGTCCTTTATTGCTGTTGGGCGGGAGTGGTGACTTTGATCTGTAACACTATTAAGCATACCTGGATACTTGGCAAGTGTGCGGTGCATCAAGCGAGCATTTCGCACGCGTCATGTCCAAAACTATGCTATATGTGCATTCAGCAGTTCTAGTGTATATC